GAAGCATGAAAATAGAGTATCACCACTTTTCTCCTCACTTCAATCCTATCTACTTTGTCATATGCGGGACATGGTCAGCTGTTTTGTTGTTGTTGTTTTTAGCAAGTATTATGCAAATTGTTTTCCCATCAAACCAAACCCCAGATCAGAACACTCCTGAAGTTTAGAAAAGTTCAGCTCTATATCCCGTTTAGGCCAATCCAGCCCCCCAGATTTGAATGCATCTGCACTTTGAGGAGGCTGGGGTCTGGTTACTAACTTGGTCCTATGCTAGGCATATAGGGCTACATTTTCTGCTATTGTAAATTGGTTCCATACGTGCTGGAACTAGGGGTGCTGGGGATGCTGCCGCATCCCCGGGTTTGAAGTGGTTTCCATCATATACAGGATTTACAGTTTGGTTCAATGGCTCTCAGCACCCCCACTATAAAAACTGTTCCAGCACCCCTGATTGGTGCAACTCCACAGACTAGAGTAGACCGGGATCAGTTAGCAGCAGCAGAAAAAATTGGCTCAGCTTTTTTATGGGAATTGACATATCTGGCTTCCCTATATTCCTGTGGCTGGGAGGAGAAGGGGCTATCAGAAATTCTCATCTGGAAACTGTTTGCACTAGGGCAGTGTCTGCTTCCAGAGTATTCATGTTACTACTGGAGACTTAATATTTATGTCCTCCTCATTTCAGAGGAGTATTTCCTCTTCTGAAACTTTACTGGGATTTCCCCCTTTGCCTCAGATGTTTGATTTTTCTAAAAGGAGTTTTCAAGTGCAGTACATATGCTGGATTTGTTCCCAAAAGTCATTCTGGAAGAGGGCCTTTTGGTGTGAGAGTTCAGCATCTCAAGCTCTCTTTCAGAAGTCACATGGGAATGTGGATAACCAAACCTTCAGTTTCAGCAGTTGTGTATTTGGTTTGTAGATGAATATAGTTGGGAGTATTCCATGGAATACTGCCTTTGCAGCATATGATTGAACAATACCTCTGTTAGGCTTCTGTTATCTTGTTTCTATTGAAGTCTTTGGGAATTGTCATTGACTTCAGTTGAAGAATAGGACCCTCACTTTATAGTCAGTGCTGAAGATATGTTTTTCACTGATATTACAAAACTTGACAATTGATATTGTATATTCCAATTAGGACACACTAGAATGAGAAAAACAAAATCCTCTGCACCATCACCTCCAAGCCTTTTTGCATGTAGCCCTCTAGGCATGATATGACCTCCCATAGCTCATCTGCAAGACTCCTGCTCTACCTACATTTAAGTCCCTTTTTAAAAACCCTCTTTTGCTGTGCTGAATACAGTGAATAGTTAATACAGTGGTATTAAAAAAAATCTGTCTTTGTTGCTCCTTTTCCCATAACATCTAGCTACACTTTTGTTTTTCTCCATGCTGTGATCGCCTCAGGGCAGGGACTATCTCTTCTTGAATCACTGGAAAGCATGTAGCACACTGTTGGTGCTCACAAATAGACTATGATGAAGAAGTTGAAATTCAATTGGTTGAATCTGTTCTAAGAGCTGTATTACTATACTTAAGAAAATTGAGCATCACCTGATAACCAAAATGCTCTTGTAATGCTTATTGCTCCATGCTCCTGTGCCATGTGATTAGGAGTATCACCTGCTTCATGCTGACTGAGGAGAACTCTGTTATGGTAGTACCCTGTGGGGATTCAGGATACCTCCCCCTTCATCACAACTCTGGCTGATTGATATCGCTTGTCAAGGAACTTCCATCTTCTGTTCTCTTAGCTCACTCCGCAAACATACCCACTCATTCTGGACACATTACTTGTTTCCACCCTCTACTCTTCTCAGTTCATCTCACATACTAAGGAAAATGGACTGGAATAGTTATTGTGGAATAACTTTCCATGTGAACACTCGGTTCTGGAATACAAGTCACTTTATTCTGGAATAATTAGTGTGCTTCCAAAGTGGAGTAATTATTCTAGCATAAAATTCCTTTTTTTATTCTGTAGTACAGTATCCACAGGGAGAGCTAGTCTGCAATAGCTATTGTGGAATAGCTTATTCTGGTCAATTTTCCTGTGTAGACAAGCCCCAAGACCCAGCATAGACGTTTGGGACAGGTTGAGAGGAAACGGTCACACAGTGAATCTAGTACCTTGCAGCTGGGAATTGTAATAAAATTGTTTTGCAAGGGGCCAAAGGTTGGCTAGAACAACACCTACAACTTGGTTACATATAAGCTCTACAGCAGAGGAGGTGGGGGGAACATATTGCTGTAGCTGAAGAGCAAGTTTCATCACCTTTCTTCTCTCACCTCACAGTTGTTTCTGTATTTGCTATCTATTATACCATGTTCCAGATGTTGCTTTCTCACAAAGCAAGTTGGCTCTTGCCTCAGTGTTCAGTTCCCAGGGAAACATGGTGGTGCTGGGAGAGTTATAGTTTTTTTGTTGTAAGAGTAATACCACATTGTCTTAGTCTTTTACTAATGGATGTTTGGAGGTGGCTTCATTCATAGCTGGCATGCGTTTTGTAATATCAGTTTAGTCCTTATAAAGCTTTTCCATGTTAGTTTTCACAACATGGAAACAACCATCCAAAAAAGTCCTTGCCACTTTATTCAGTACAGTTTGGTACAATTGTCGATGAGGAGGTCCAGGGCTGAGGCTAAGGGTTGTTGTAGGTCAGAGCTGAGGCAGAGCACTGTGGAGAAGCTTGACAGCACTTGCCTATCTCATAGCTTGTTTCTCTCCAGAGTTATCCACCCGTCATCCACATGACGTCACTAACAATATTTTTTAAAGAAACCACCTACAAAAACAAAACCAACAACAACAACAACAAAGTCCACTCTGCCTGCCTTCTCCAAACATTTGTATTTTCACAGCCTAAAATGCTAAAACCCTGCTGTAGAAGCATAAGCAACTTAAGAGAAAAAATTGAAGTTCAAGGTTCACCTGCAGAACATATTAGTATGTTTATCGGGTTAGTTAAGGCGGTGACACACTGAAGGTGCAGAGAGAAGGAGCAGCAAGGGCTTCAGATTGTGTGGTGGGAGCGATAATGAATGTCACCTGGGGCAGAGACAGAACGTTTGGCACTACTGGTATATGTGTTTAGAATGAATGGGACGGTGTGTCTTTAATAACTGCAAAACACCTTCTCTTCTCTTCTGAGCCAGCTTGCATGCCATATTTTGTGTGTTTCCCTTCCTCTTACAGACTTCCTGTAGATTCTGAAAAAAAAATTTATTTAAAAGCCTTATTTCACTTTTCAACTGGGAAGTGGGGGGGAAAATACTTTTCAGTGTCACATTGGAAAATAACTTAGCAAAATAGTCTTGTGCAGGTCGTTGTCTTTCTCTTTCCCTGAGCCCTCACCTTTTTTTTTTTAATTACCAACAAACCCCCACTCCCTACCCCCAAGGCATATTTTATGGCTCAGACATGAACCTCAGTGGCCATTATATTTCCACTGTGCTTGTTTGCAGATATCAACTTGAAGATTTGCATGGTACAAAGATTGCGTCACCCCTTCAGTCTAGTAAAAGCAAAAAAAAAATCACCTCTTCTCTGAAAGTGCAGTTCATACATCTCCATCTTTGTGATAGCACTGAAGCCATTATGTAGCAGTTGGCCCTGATACGCTTGCACAGACACAAATTGAGTCCGACAGGACTGATGTCTCATGGACTTTGCTGTCATTTGAAATGCTGGCACGAAGATGGTAGCGATGAAAGGGGGGAGCTGGTGCCTTCAGCACTTTGCCTATGAAGATTTCTTAGATTCATATCTCTTGATAACGGTAGCTGATTCGAGAGGTAGTTTTACAAAAGAGATTGATAGCAGCAGTAGATTTCTAACATCTGGTCATCTTTTTTTTTCTTCCTTGAGTAGATTCTTTCAGCATTGCACTGTAGTATAAAATAGGCTCTTCATACCACCCACAGGTCTGTAAGATCCATCAAGTGGAATAATTAGTATAATTCCTTCCCTCCCTTTTGGTTTTTATCTTCACTGCATGGAAGCTACTCAGGCAGGGTAATGAAAAAGAGAGTATCTGTTTTTCTCATTGTGTTTGAGCTAAGTTTCAGACCTACCAAAGTATATAACTTACAACTCTTTTGAAAAGTAAAATTAAATTTCAGTGTTATTTTAGTGACACAGTCGGGCTATTTTGGGATATCTCTAATATTTCCTCTCAGAGGGAAGCATTTCTACATTCTGCGATTTCTAATATTGCTTGGGTGGAATGGATTTAACAAAGAATAAAATGGATTTCTTCTTAAAGGCAAATGCTTAAACTGTATTGTTCATTAGTTCTTATATAACATGTTAAATTAAACTGACTGAACTGAATATGGGCTCTTTATTCATGATTTCTGTAATGCATAATTTAAATATACAGGAAAATCAGAGAGGAAATGTAACCTTTTAGACATGTGGGACCAAAACTGAATATGAGTTTTGATGTGTTAATATGGGGGATCCAATATGCTAGCATTGCAAAGCTGGCATTAGGAATAGTCTGAGAAGCAGATTTAGCCCTGTCATTCCTACCTGATGCCAGGAAAGCAGCTTCCAGTATGTCATTTGTTAGTGGACTTTTATCCTGGCCTCTGAATCCTTTCCTAAACCCTTCCTTACAGCATCAGTATGCCTCATTCTGGTGATGTATTTAACTAATAGTTCATTAGAAACGACAATTCATTCTCATGATATATTACTCAAAATGCAGTGCTGAGCCGGCAAGACAAGACCCAACACATGGGATTGGTTGATCTGAACATGGGAGAAGAAAAGGTGTGCTGGGGACAGGATGCTCTATGGCTCCAGCATTCTGGCTTCAGTGCTAGTAACATCTGCAGCACCTCGCTACCTTCAGTGTACTACAATCTCCTGAAGATGCTTTGTATTTTTAAACTGTTTTGCCCCTAACTGTAAATATTGGGAAAAACAAAACCAACCCCCCTAACCATATTTTGCTCTCTCTCTCTCTCTTTTTCTCTCCACCACTCCACAGGCTCTGAAAACACTTCATCAGAAATTTCAGACCGGACAGACTCATAGTGGCTTCTGAGCCAGTGAGACCGAGGCTGCCAAAGCATGCTGGTGCCAAGCTGTCGGATGATGCACGTAGCCAGGCCAGTGGTGGTGCTCCTGTGCTTTCTGCTTTCTGCTGATGCTGAAAGTAAGCTTTACTCTTCAATGGTGTTGAGGTTTTAGCCATAATGAACAGTTTTGTTTTCAGCTAACAGTTGTTGAAGGCCTCTGAATAAGTCTCCTTTTCAGTAAATCTTAAAACTCTCTGAGATCCTCTGTGGCTCACAGCCAGTATTTGAACAGGTTTGTTTATGTGACTTCCTTACCATTTTTCCTCCTAATGCTCCTTTTCTTAGTCATCTAACAGTTTCTACTGTTCTCTTTTTCTTTTCTTTTCGCCGGTTAGTTGGTAGAGATAATATTAGTGAAATTATACAGGCAAAATGAAGCCTAACCTTGCTTACCAAATGGCAAACATCAGTTAGTTCCATTAGGAACTTGTTTACTTCCTTGGATATTTCCTTTTAAGTTTAGTAAAATAAACAATAGACTGTTGAGTCCAATTAAAATTCCAGGCACTTAGTAGCTGTCACAGCAGCTGTTCTAATGTATTATTTCCGACAGCTGTCGTGGAGTACAGTATTCAAACAAATCAAGCAGAACTGACATCTTTGGTCTGAGTGGGTAGTATAGGTACTTAGGTTCTGTGTATTTGGACTCATTTTATGATACTGCAAGGTTTTGGTCAATTAGCTTACCAATTAATGAGAAGATAATATCTTCTTTTTAACTGGGAAATAATTAGGCCTACCTTGTTTACATGTGTTGTTTTTCCCAGCTGTCCTGTGGCTTTTTGCAGACATGTTATACCAACAAGAAAAGCCACTTGCGTCTGCCTGTTGACAGGCTGGTTTACTACAAGCTGTTCAGTTCACTTGGTACAGCAGCATTTTTCTTTTGGCTCTTCTTAGGACTATTAAAACATCAGCATTCATGAACTCTGGCCCCCTTCTGACTTTAAAGTGGATTCTGATCTCCCTTACAACTATGAAAACACAAAGGGGCAACTCCGTTGAGATAGAGTTACAACAGAGTAAAAGTGGTGTGAGATCAGAATCGGACACTGTTTTAGTGAGAATTCATTCAGTTCTCATTAAAGCTGTTACTAAGCTCATTGTGGACTCCGAGTGCACTGAATTACATTGATATAGCAGCTCTTAAAACGTAGAAATGGGGAAAAAAATTATTAAGGCTCTGTTTTCTAAATATAGCACCATGTCATTGAAATACATGAAAAAACAAGCATGCACAAAACATACATGTTTGTAGAGTACTGACAGTTGAGATTATTTGGGTCGTTTCCAGACAGTTAATGACCAGCTGGGATAGTTGTGTCTAAGGTGAATCCAAGGACATTTTAAGACTTTAGCCAGCAAATAATTAACTGGAAAATAGCTCAAGCACTAGACATTTCTGCTGTTTTAAAGCACCATCTATTTTAAAAGACAAAATCTATGCTTAGTGAACAATAGATTTTAGAATCTGGTATTGCTTTTCTGTATAAAATGCCAGAGTACTGTACTTCTGGTGGAGCTGAAGTGAATTTGTGTGTGTGTTTATATTGCTTGTTCTTTACCAATCAGATAACAATTGGCAAAAGGACCGCTGCACTGCTCTCTCTTTTATAAAGTTTATGAGAGAAGGGAATATACTCCACTGAGGACTAATGTAGGATTTACTTTCAAACAGGCTGTACTATAAAAGCACTTTAATAAGGATCTTAATAGTGCTTTGAGATTAGCTTTTCAAAATTATTGTGTTCCTCGCACATGTCTTTAATACTTAAAACAAAATGTGGCAGTAGGCTCTTAGACATTGTTGTGGCAGGAGGTTGCTTTGTTAATAAGCATCTGTTATTAGCATGCAGCATCAACATGCAGATTAAGGGTTGTAAAGTTGTGCTTTAGGATTAGGATGAACTTTTGTAGCAGTTATTGTTGATTAATCTTGGCTAGACACTAAGGAATGATCGTGATGGGTAGAAAAGTGATGCAAAAATAAAGATTATTCACCTATAACTAGAATTATTGCAGATGGTTTCTGCAGAGGTCAGACACATCCCAAGAGTGGGAATCTGCAGAGGCCCTTTAAAGAAGATGCTTATCACATGTTTAGTTTCTTTGCCTTTTGCACACTGGTTTATACCATATTGTTGCGTCATTGCTCATTAATATTTTCCTGTGATGGTATTGGATATCAAATGTGTCCTGATTGCTCTCAACATAAGAAAAAAATCCATCATGTTTCCATAATTCCTTAAAAAATAATCCACAAATCAGCCATAGGCCAGCTGAGTTCTATGACAGAGGAACTGACAGCTGATCCGCTACCCTTTCTGGAAGGTGTCCCTATAGTTAACAGGCATTACCAGACAGAATTTCAGGGAACCAGGGCAGCCAGCCAAAGAGGGATAAATTAAGTTAACCACATCTTGGAGGGGTTGATAGCATTGCCGTATCATCTACTATTATTATGCACTAAAGTATTTCTTCTAGTGGCAAACAACAATAATGGGTAATAAGGAGAAAAAATAGTATGTTTAGATCTGAATTTAAAAGGTTTAAAAACAGGAAAAATATATTTTTAATATCAGAAGGCTATCGGATATATATCTAAAATGTCAGTATCAAACTAGAAATGGAATCATTACGTTCTTTAATTGAGAATTTGCTTCTCTAAGGGAAACTGAAATTCCTGAAACTAAACCCAACCATATGTATACTAGCCATGATTGTATCCTGGAGGGTCTGAGATGACATTCAAGAGTAATGAGTGGTTGGATAATTGTATTAAACAAAATAATATTTTTGGTACATGTGTTTTAAACATTCCCCTTTATGATCAATAGGGGTAAAACAGAATTGGGCAGTATAGCTTATGTTTTGTTTTTTTATGGGGGAAATGCAGTTTCTAACCTGAACAATTTAAAATATTTAGTTTATTTAACTAAGAACATTCTAAAATGTTGCATGTTTATTTAGCTTAATTTTCCTTTACTACTTTTTCTTTTAAATAAAATATTTACTTTTACTCCAAAGTGGAGTTGTGATACAATGAAAGGGAAATATGCTATGACTAATTAATGTAGAAAGTGGATAGATTTTTAGCAGTAGTGGGTGATCCTAAAAATGATCAGTTCATATATTCAAGCTTTTATGAGAAGAGACTTTCATCTTAGGTACCCTCTACTTCCTGATTCCAGTCTGGCTATAGATATAAGGTCTGATCCTGCCAAGTGGTGAGTGCCCACATTTCCCAGTGACTTCAATGAATACTAAGCATGCTTCGTACTTCATGGGATTGTCCCCACAGTGAGACCAACTCTTTGCTACTTAATTGCTTCCTCTTCTCAGGTCTGGCTGGAGCGAAGCCCTTCGACACATGCGGGATAGGGGAGGGGAATTTAAAAAGTTAACGTAACATTTTGGTCATCTGAATAAGTGGGTTCAAGTTTTGGCTGAAGGTTTAAGTCCGTTTTAATCTGATCTGAACGGCCCCTTAGTAAACGTTAATGAATGAATGAATGTTAGCTAGATGTTCTTAGAGGTACATGTCTTGTTTTTAGTGAACTTTGACTGTCTAATCTGAAGAAAAAATCCCTGTATGTGTGAATCTATAAATGTTGTTCCTCTTCCACTTAGTCCCTCTCCCTATACAGTTAAGACTGAGATTTTTGAGTTTCACGCAGTTAATGTGCACAGACTTTAAAAGTGTGTGTCATTATATACATACAAACCAATGCAAGTACTATTCACACATTTTATTTAAAATCTTTCTGTATCATGAACAATAAAATATACAGTCTTATTCTGAATGAAGGAATTTGGCTCCACTTAGTCCTGCACTTAACGTTACTAAATACACAATCAGTTTAGGTGGGTGAGCTAATATCTTTCATTGGACCAACTTCTGTTGGTGAGAGAGACGAGGTTTCGAGCTCTACAGAGCTCTTCTTCAGGTCTGGGAAAGGTTCTCTGAGCATCACATCTAAATTCCAGGTGAAACAGATTGTTTAGCATAAGTAGTTAGCACATATTGTAAGGAACCATTCAAGGTAGAAACAACGAGGAGTCCTTGTGGCACCTTAGAGACTAACAAATTTATTTGGGCATAAGCTTTCGTGAGATATAACCCACTTCATCAGATGCATGGAGTGGAAAATACAGTAAGTAGGTATAAAAATACGGCACATGAAAAGATGGAAGTTATCTTAAAAAGTGGGGGGTCAGTGCTAACGAGGCCAATTCAATTAGGGAGGATGTGACCCATTCCCAACAGTTAACAAGAAGGGGTGAATATCAACAAAGGGAAAATTATTTTTTGCAGTTACCCAGCCACTCCCAGTCTTTATTCAGGCCTAATTTGATTGTGTCAAGTTTGCAAATTAATTCCAGTTCTGCAGTTTCTCATTGAAGTCTGTTTTTGAAGTTTTTTTGGTTCAAGAATGGCGACTTTTAAGTCTGTTACTGAGTGTCCAGGGAGATTGAAGTGCTCTCCTTCTGGTTTTTAAATGTTACAATTCTTGATGTCTGATTTGTGTCCATTTATTCTTTTGCGTAGAGACTGTCCGGTTTGACCAATGTACGTGGCAGAGGGGCATTGCTGGCACATGATAGCATGATATCACATTGGTAGATGTGCAGGTGAATGAGCTCTTGATGGTGTGGCTGATGTGATTGGGTCCTATGATGGTGTTCCTTGAATAGATATACAGACAGAGTTGGCAACGGGGTTTGTTGCAGGGGTTGGTTCCTGGATTAGTGTTTCTGCTGTGTGGTGTGTAGTTGCTGGTGAGTATTTGCTTCAGGTTGTGGAGCTGTCTGTAAACGAGGACTGGCCTGTCTCCCAAGTCTGTGAGAGTGAGGGATCGTCCTTCAGGATAGGTTTTAGATCCTTGATGATGCGCTGGAGAAGTTTTAGTTGTGGGCTGTAGGTGATGGCTAGTAGCGTTCTGTTTCTTTGTTGGGCCTGTCCTGTAGTAGGTGATTTCTGGGTACCCTTCTGGCTCTGTGTTTCCTCACTTCACCAGGTCGGTATTGTAGTTTTAAGAACGCCTGATAGACATTCTGTAGGTATTTGTCTCTGTCT